GATCATTGGGAAAGGACCTGATATTACTTCCTCTTGGGCTCCTCTTGTCTGTGCTCTGGGCAGCAGGACTCGGAAGCTCACTGCCATCAAGTCAATTCCAACTCATAGTTGGTCAATCTACTTCCATAGAGATACCACCTCAGAAACCCAGGGAGGGGTGGCTATGAGTCAGAAATGACTCAATGGCAGTGAGTTTGGTTTTTGGTTTAGTGACCCCCATTGGGTTTCCAAGGCTGTAAATCTTTACGGAAGCAGACGTCCTCATCCTTCTTCTGTAGAACAGCTGGTTGGTTTGAATCACTGACCTTTTGGTTAGCAGCCACATGCTTTAACCACTACATCACCAGAACTTCTCCTGGGCAGCTATAAGGAGTCTTTAATTTGCCAATCAGATCATGGAACTCAGGCTTAAATGGACAGCAGCTTCCCATTACATTTAGAATAAAATTCCAAGTCTTTCCTGTGGCTTACAAAGTATCTGGCCCAGACTTCCTTTCTTTTCCCCCTCTTTCTGCTTCAATTCCACTTGCCTCTGGCTGTTCCTGAAAGGTGGCCAGGTGGTTCCCATTTCCAGGCATTTGCACTTGCAGTTCCACTCAAGACTCCATGTGTCCAGGTCCTCTTGTGGCTGGCTGCCACCATTCATTCAGGGAGGCCTTCTTCAACTTCCCTCTAAATAGCTTTCTCTGACTTGTCACCATTGCCATCATTCCTCTATTTTTCTTTACCTTTCACACTATGTTATGAATTGAATTGTGTCCCTCAAAAAGATGTGTTGGTTACCCATGTTCATCACAGCTCTATTCACAATAGCAAAAACATGGAAACAACCTAGGTGCCCATCAACAGAAGAATGGATAACCAAACTATGGTACATAAACACAGTGGAATACTATGCTACACTAATGAGTAATGTACAATCTGTAAAACATTGCAAAACATCACATAATGTGGATGAACTTAGAGGACATTGTGCTGAGTGAAATAAGTCAATCACAGAAAGACAAATATTATATTAGTTTATTATTGTAAAAAGTTAAGGTAAGGTTTATATATGGAACTAAACTTTCTTTGTTCGTTACCAGGGGTGGGAGGGGAGGGGAGGAAACACTGCAAAAAAAAAAAAAAAAATTAGAGTTGTACTGAGAAGGCATGCAATAATGTATGTGAATAAAGCCCCATGGAAATGTAAAAAAATAAAAAGTGCTGGAATCCTAACCCCTACACCTATGAATGTAAGGTAACATAATGTAATCACCTTCCATAAAGCAATCTAATGTTATGTTAATGAGGCCATATCAGTGTGGTGTGTATCCTAAACCTGATCACCTCTGAGTTATAAAAAGAGCAGATTAGACACAGAGACATTAATTCATTAACTACCTCTAATATACCGATGACACAACCTTGCTTTCTGAAAGAGAAGAGAACTTGAAGCACTTACTAATAAAGACCAAAGACTACAGCCTTCAATATGGATTACATTTCAACATAAAGAACACAAAAATCCTTACAACTGAACCAATAAGCAACATCATGATAAATGGAGAAAAGATTGAAGTTGTCAGGCATTTCATTTTCCTTGCATCCACAATCAACACCCATGCAATCAGCCGTCAAGAAATCAGACATCATATTGCACTAGGCAAATGTGCTGCAAAAGAACTCTAAAGTGTAAAGGAGCAAAGACGGCACTTTGAAGACTAAAACATGCCTAACCCAAGCCATGGTATTTTCAATTGCCTTGCATTCATGTGAAAGCTGAATAATGAATAAGGAAGGCTGAAGAAGAGTTGATGCACGTGAGTGTGGTGTTGGTGAAGAAAACTGAAAATAACACTGACTGCCAGAAGAGCAAGCAAATCTGCCTTGGTGGAAGTACAGCTGGAATACTCCTTACAAGCTCGAATGGCCAGACTTTGTCTTTCATATTATAGTCATGTTGTCAAAAGGGACCAATCTCTGGAGAAGGATATCATACTTGGTAAAGCAGAAGGTCAGTGAAGAAGGGTAAGACCCTCAATGATGTGGACTGACCCAGTGGCTGCAACAATGAGCTCAGGCATGGCAACAATTAGGAGGATGGTAGAGGACAGGGCAGTGTTTCATTCTGTTGCACATAGGGTTGCTATCAGTTGGAACAGACTAGACAGCACCTAACAAGAAGAAGACACAGAGACAAGCACATACTGGGGAAGACAGACACCATGTAAGGATCGTCAAGAAGGAAGGAGTGCCCAGGTTACTGACAAAGAAGGAATCCATGTTGTTGAGGCCCTGATTTGGACTTCTACCTCTAGAACTGTGAGAAAAAAAAATTCTGTTCCTTAAAACCAACCAACTGTGGTATTTGTGTTAGAGCAGCACTAGATAACTAAAACACTTCATAGAGTAGATTTCTCCCCAGTGCCTAGAACAGTGCTTGGCACATAGAGGGTACCCAACAAATGTATTGTTTACCCCACATCTACATCCTCCCATGTGGCTGACTCTCTTTTAGACATCTTTGGATACCCCACAAGCTCTTCCAAAAATGTTACTGTCTTCTTCCAAAATCTGCCACCCAGCTCCCCAAACCATTCACCATTGACACATAGCAGATACCTGGTTGGGATGCTAGATTCCTCACCTCTGGTAACTGAGTGGTCACCAGATGCCATTGGGTCTCTCCCTGGACTCTCTGCACTGTCCACATTATCTTTGCTTGGGTCCTCCTTTTTTTTTGCCAATTTATTTCCCTACCCAAGACCCACTCCTACGTTACTGCCACAGCATTTTCTGAAACCCAGTGATGACACCAGGATTATCTTGAGGATCAAGTTCAGACTCTTTAGGTTGGCACACAAGGACCTACAGGATCTAGTGCTCCCCCTCCCTCCCAATCGTTCTAGCTTTGCTTTCAAACCAGACTAGTTGGGGTTCCCCTAAACACCTCCATGTCTCTCTCCATGCTGTTCCCTCCTGGAACCTGGAAAATCCATTTTTTGCTTTTCTACTGCATCTTCTCCAATTAGAGAAATTAAATTTGTTTTTCTTAATTCCATGCACCTCCTCTCTCCCATTGCACCAGGCCCCTATATCTCACCTCTCATTGTCGTTTACTAACCCAGGTGTATGCACATATCTATAAATATATCTCTGTGTAACCACCTGTATCTGTATTGAGTTGAATATGAGTTCACACTCACGCATCCAATGTCAATCTATTACCACATGGGTTGTTCTAGACTCCTTTCTTTGATTATCTAACCTTCTTCTAACAGCGAGGTACGTGACTCTCACTATTTGCCATTCATTTACTTAATTATTCAATCCCAGTAGACATGCACAGTGGTCTCTCACTGTATTTTACTTGTGCATTTATTGGTCCTCAAAATCAATGTTCATTCTCAAGCACTATCAATAGCTAAGAAAACTTAATACATGCCAGGCTCTCATCAAAACACTATAATTACATAAACTCATTTAATTCCCACAACCATTATAAAATAGTTATTAGCTCCACTGAACATAAGAGGAAACTGAGGTACAGAATAGCCAAGTAATTTTGTCCAAGTTGCACAATCAATAAGTCGTAGAACCAACGTTTGAACCCAGGAAGCAGCCCTCCAGAGTCATGGCTAAAGTCCACATCCCCTATTTCTCCACTCCATGATAGAGGGGCTGCAGTTAATGTCAGCTGAACTGATAATACCCCTGAGTTCCTTACCATTCCTCACCATTGTGTTTTCATCTTCAGCTCTTCTGTGCTCCCTTCCACATTGTCGATCGCTGCTGCTAGTCCAGGCTGGTTCAACTACAGCTTTACACTATTGTCTGGGCCCTCATTACTCTTGTGAGCTGTTAAATTCATTGGCTGTTGAATCCACATTCCATCCACACAGAATGATTCCCAACTTCCACTGCTGTCTTGCTGACCTCTGACCTTGACTCCCAGGGATGGACTTCCCATCTTGTCAGAGCCATGTAGCTGTCTGTCTGTGCACTTACCTTTTCCATGTCTCAATGTTTCTCCATACCCATCCTCTCCACACAACCTCTCCTTCATTCACATCCCTAAGAAAAGCCTGAAGCTCTGTTTTCAGGGTGTGGGGACACTCCCTCCTTCTTCCCTTTGGCTCACCTTCAAGACCCCTTGGTGTTCGCTGTGCACTTGAAGATATGCAGAGGCTTCCCTGGTTTTGTACTATAAAAATCTCAGCTTGGCTACCACCTTCTCTCTCCCTTTCTTCTTCCTTCTTCCAGTAAGTAATGTCTGAGTGCCTCCTCCATGCCAGGCACTGTTCTAGGTGCTAGGAATTCAGGATAAACAAAACTCACAACACCTTGTGCCAGGAGCTAACATCCTCATTTAGCCAAACTGCTTGAAGGAAAAAGGAAATACCCCTTCTGCCTTCCACCTACTCATAGGAAAGAAGCACGTTTTGGTGGAAAATGATCCAATGTGTTTTATTGAAGCAATTCTATTTTCCTCTATCAACAGAATTTAGAAAAATGATCTCTGACTTTGTCAGTGTTTCCATAGGAACCTGCTTTCCAGCTTTCTAGATGTCATCTTTGTGGACATCTCATTTTCCCAGAGAGTGTTTTTCTGGAGAAGGCTTTGATAAAAGGATGTTGAACAAATGATTGTGGCCCTGGAAGATCCATGGCATTGCAGAAGCATTGGTTTCTTTAGCGAAAGTCAATTCCTTCCTGCTTGCCACTATAATAACTATTTTTATTATCAAAGTTAGTGTTACCAGGAGCCACAAAATGACCGCCCCAGCAGGGTTGAGGAACAGCTGTCTTTTGTAACTCAGGGTTTGCAACTGGTCAGTCTCGAGAGAGACAGCCTGACTAAGAGCAGCACAGAAGCCCTTTGGACATCGCCACCTGGGCCGGGAGGCTAGAGATGAGGCCTGCATTTTGCATTAGCTACTTCTGGACAGCTAGAAGTCAGAAAAGCAAAAGCAAGAAGTTCCATGCAGACCCACGTGACAGGCTCCTTCTCCCCTAAATTATTGTCCAAAAGTAGAAGGTGGAAGATCCCTTAGTTCCTCCTTTTCTGGGTGCACCTCTGACACCTTATTCATCTTGGTGAAAATCTGATTGATCTCAATAAATGTCTTGGCTTTGGTCTCAGGGACAATCAGGAAGGTGTAAATGGTGGTGAGAAGACATATCACAGCAAAAATGATGAAGCTATAAGCTCCCAAGCCAACCTGTAAGGAGAGATCATGTGAGAGCCATGTGGAAAGGGGTTTCCTGACCCTGTGGCTGCCAGCCCCATAGCTGAGCTGGGAACCTTTGTACTTTCTCGAGTAGGGTCTTGCTGTACTGGTTGGGAGTCCTGGTGGTCAAATGGCTGACATGTTCATCTGTTAACTGAAAAATTGGAGGTACAAGGCCACCCACAGGCACCTTGGAAGAGAGCCCTGGTGATCTACTTCTAAAGAATCAGCCATTAAAAACCATATAGAACATAATTCTATCTGACAGTCACAGGGTCACCATAGTCAGAGTCTATTTGACAACAACTAGTACTGGAACTGCTTGAGGATTTGTGAATTCAGGGCCCCAGCGTACCGGAAAGGAGCTCTGGTGGCGTAGTGCCTAAGGCACTTGACCGCTAACAAGAAGTTTGGTGGTTCAAACCCACCAGCCACTCCTCAGGAGGAAGATTGGGGAATCTACTTCCGTAGTGATACTGCCTCAGAAACCCAAGGAGGGGTCACTATGAGTCAGGTCCAACTTGATGGCAGTAAGTTGTTGGTTTGATTTTGTTTTTGATTTTGTTTCTGCATACCTGAATAAAGGGAAAGATCAAGCCCACGGTGAAGTTGGAGAGCCAGTGCACGCTGCCCCCTACCATGAAGGCGGCCGGCCGAGAAGACTGCAGGAAGATCTCGGTGATGAGCAATGCAGGAATGGGACCTTGGTGGAGAAAGAGGGAAAGTGCTCTTCCCTGCGGGCATAGCGATCCTACAGCTAGTTCCTGGACCCCTGCCCAGAAAAGGCACTCTAGTCACTCTAGTCCAAAGCGGGAACTCCAGGTCTGATGGAGAAGCAGTGTGAGGATACAAATAATAAGAGTTTATGGATGACATTGTAATGTCCCCAGCACTGGCCAAATGACCTCCTGTAGGCTCCCCAAGCTAATCTCACTGGGGAGTATGCTTTGAGCTCTCCAGTTTACTGTACAGTTTCATCCAGGTTATACTCCACTCAACTCTAAGAAAGGCCTGGTGATCTGCTCCAAAAATAAGCCAATGAAAACCCACGGATCACAACAGTCTGATCTGCAACTGGTCACGAGGATGGCACAGGACTGGGCAGCGTTTCATTCTGTTGTGCATGGTGTCACCAGGAGTCAGGGGCTGACCCAATGGCAGCTGACAACAATAACCCTATGAAACAGGAAGAGGGGCAGAGGGGACCTCCCAGGTCCACCTTCTGTACTCTCTGGAACCTCTCAAAGGAGCTCAAGGCAGAAGTTTCTAGGGCGGGTGGAACAGGAAAGAAGGAATGAAACTGTGAGACCAGCTCCAAGGTACATACTGGGCCCGATGGCATGTCCTATGACATAGGAGATGACACAGACAATGCTGATGTAAGGCATCCAGGATATTGTCTCCTGCAGGAGTAAAGAGTTGAGTCACACTTGGTAAAGCAAAGATAGCCTGGGAGGGGGACGTCAGGAATCTTGGGCTCCTGTGGCCAAACAGGTATGATCTGAGGAGCGGCATCTTTGGCCAGCCAGGAAAGATAGCCCCACCCCCCACCATCTTGATGGACCACCATCAGCTGATGGGCTACTGGGTAGGGGGCACAAGGTCAGACTGATCATATCGGCAAAAAATAAATCTATTTTGACTTTTTGTCCTCATAATACCAGTTGGGGCACAGGGTGAGAGTGACCCTGTTTTCCTTCCCAGGAACGTCTGCTATATCCCCCCATGCACCGCTTGGAGCCCCCTACACTGAGCCCTGCCTTTTACTAACCTGCAGCACCAGGGCGGCCGTCAGCACACAGCAGGCCGTGCAGCAGATGGAGAAGCCGAGGAGGATCAGAAGTCTCCTGCCCAGCAGCTCCACCACAAATACCTGGAGGAGAAGGTGGGGAGGTAACGAGGGAGGCACAGGGGCCAGCACTCTGGCCAGAGGGAGGCCAGCTGCCCTGGCATCCAGCTGCACCCCTGTCCAGAGCAGTGGGTCCAAGTGCCTTCACCTGGAAACCTTCCCCTCCCCCCCTGCCCCACCCCTCACACTCTTTTCTGATGGGGCAGTTATGTGGAGAACGAGGTAGGCCATCCTCCTACCGCCTGTGTGTGTGCATGCACATCCCTGGCCACTTACGTGTATCATGCTTGTGTGAATAATATGTGTACATGTACATGTGCATGTGCATATATGTAATGAATGCATGTCCACGTGTGTGTACACACACTCATGTACACAGAACATGCCTTTAAATGATGTCCAGGTTGTGTCATTGGACCCAAGCTGCCCAGACTTCAATAGCTCTACCCCTCAGGGCCTTCAAAATGTACAAAATGTATGCCCCTGAATCAGATCCCAATTATCTGCTGGAGGTTGAACCCCTAGATGAACTTGAGAGATTCTCTCCTCTAGAGGTGGCCAAAGAGCCTAAGCCAAGCATTGTCCAGACATGAAGCCACTCAGCAGTCCATCATTCCTGTCACACTGTGACCTGGCACAGGTAGCATGCACCTTAGACACATTGGCAGCCCCTGATGTAAGAAGTTAAGGAATCATTTCACATGGTAAGAGAAGGGGCCAGGATGGAGAAGTGCAGAGATGGAGGCCATAGGCTGCTCTTCCAGGAGATGGGTTGGGCCTTGAGGAGAGCTCAGAGGCAGGAGACCAGGGACTGAGGGGGGCATCACTGTCTCAGAGCCCAGACTCACTCCTCAATGGACAGCCCCTCTCCCCCACAAACACCCCTCAGTCAGTGGCAGCAGACAGGAGACAGCCCAGGATACTCACAGCACAGATGGTCATCACCACGTTGACGGCCCCTGTGCCTGCTGTCACATACTGGACCTCAGCATCCTTCACACCAGCGCTGAGGTAGATCTGGTCTGCATAGTAGTAGATCTGGAATGGATCATGGCATAGGCATGAGGCAGCCAGAGGAGGGGGCTGTGCTGAGGGGCTTGCTGCACCATGGACCCCATGGACTATGTGAAGGAAGGGCCCATGTATTCCTCAATACCTGCCTCTGCCCAGGGTTGTGTCCCCAGACCCCACTCAGCCTCCCTGGCCCTCTGCTTACATACCGCATTGACCCCTGACAGCTGCTGGCCACCCATGAGGATGATGATAGTGATGACCTGCCACCGCAGGGACCGCATCCTGAACAGCTTCAGCACAGAGACGGTGCCGGCCTCACGCTCTGCCTCATCCTCTTGCCGGATCTCCTCCATCTCCTCATCCACATTGTCCCAGCCTCGCAGCCTCTTCAAAGCTAAGGGCAAAGGGCAGGAGGACATGTGAGGGCACGGGGCCGAGGTGCTGTGGCCTTCCAGCCCCATTCTGCCTCTTGTAAGATGGCTTTACCATTCTTGGCAGCGACTTCATCCTTTTTCTGAACCAGCAGGTATCTGGGGCTCTCAGGGAAGAAGGGCAGGAGCAAAACTTGGAGTGCTGCAGGGACTCCAGTCAGCCCTAGGAGAATTGGCCAACCTGCAAAAGACCACACCCTCACCTAGGTCTTGGCTACAGAACTCCCTCCTGGAGTGGCCTTCCTGGAGCCCAAAATTTCCTGCCTTCACCTACTGCACTGGGCCAGTCATGCTCTGTCTGTGGTGTATGTGCTCTGCAAGGGCAGAGACATTGCTGTTCTCCCCATGGGTCCCAGCACCAAGAATGGGGCCCAACAAATCATGTAAGTCAGTACTTACAGAAGACACAAGTGGTGATAGCACCACACACCTAGCAGACTGGCAGAAATGAAATGCCAAGGATTGGCAAGGATGTGGGCAAATGGGAACTCCCCACACTGTATTTCATGGACACTGTGGTATCCTTTAGAGGGCAGCCTGGAGGAACTAGTGAAGCTGGTCATCCTGATAGCCTCTGTCCAGCAGTTCTGTTTCTGGACATTTGCCCAGAGAAGCCCGTGTGTGCCTTGGGCCACCAGGACAGGAGATCTAGAATGATCAGAGCAGCATTGATTCTAGAAACTGAAACAGAAACAATACAAATGTCTATAACAATAGAATGGATCAATAAATTGTGCTGTATTAGTAAAATGGATTCTACACCTCAATGGAAAGGAAGCAAGCCACAGCAAGGATAAATCACACCAACAGGATGTGAGTACAAGCGTCTACACAATGTGACTCCACTTATACGAAGCTCAGAAGAAGGTAAGATCAACTCTCCCATTGCAAGATGAGGAAAAGGTCCCTGGGTGGTACAAACGGTTTGTGTTCATCTACTGATCTAAAAGTTGGTGGTTCAAACCCACTCAGTGGTGCCACAGAAGAAAGGCCTGGTGATCTGTTTTGGTAAAGCCAAGAAAACCTTGTGGAACAGTTCTACTCTGTAACATATGGGTTGCCGTGAGTCAGAATGGAGTCAACGGCAACAGGTTTGGATTTTTTTTTTTTTTTCAAGTTTTTAGAAAAGTGACGAGGTTATGGAAAAGCAAGGACATAAAGATTGTAAGTGTCAGCATGGGGTCTCCCTCTGGGGGTGACAGGGGCATGACTGAGGGGCATACTGGCTTCCAGGGCCAGCAGGTACTAAGTCTGGATCTGGGTAGTAGTTACACACCTGTGTGATTTCTGTTGTTTGATGACATGTATATTTATGTTGTATGTGCTTTTCTTTATGTATGTTATATTTCACAATAAAAAGCATTAAAAAAAAAATAAGTGAATGAATAGTTTAGACTCCTTTCATCAGTTACCAAAGTGTTCTCATGGTGCAGTGTTTAAAGCACTCAGTTGTTAAACAAAGGTCAGCAGTTCAAACTCACCAGCCACTCCGCAGGAGAAAGATGAGACAGTTTGCTTCTGTAAAGATTTACAGCCTTGGAAACACTATGGGACAGCTCTACTCTGTCGCCTAGGGTTGCTGTGAGACGGAATCACTAGATGGCAGTGGATAGGTATCAGTGACCAGTCACAGTGAAGTCGATTCTGATTCACAACAACTGCATTTGTGTCAGAATAGAACTATGTTCCATAGGGGTTTCAATGGCTGATTTTTTTTTTTTTTTTTTGAAGTTGCTCACCCAGGGGCAGATTATTCATTAAGTAAGGTAAGCATGAGCTAACTTGTGCTTATTTACTAATATGTAGTGAATAGTTTCATATATATTTTTTGTGGGAGAAAACATGGAAATGTTTGAAAAGAGGCTTTGATTCTGTAGGAAGGTGCTGTAGGGCTGGAGGAGAGACAGATGTCAGCCACACCTAGAAGGAGAATCTTTGATGTGGTAAAAAAAAAAAAAAAGTGAAGTTGTTCACTGCAGATTAGTAAATAAGCACAAGGAAGCTCGTGCTTACCTTGTTGTTGTTGTTAGATCCCGTCGAGTTAGCGCCAACTCATAGTGACCCTATGTAAAACAGAACGAAACACTGCCTGGTCCTGTGCCAATCTCATGATCCTTGCTATACCTGAGCCCATTGTTGCAGCCACTGTGTCAATCCATCTTGCTGAGGGCCTTCCCCATCTCCACTGACCCTCTGCCTTACCAAGCATGATATCCTTCTCCATGGAATGGGCCCTTCTAACAACATGACCAAAGTAGATGAGACAAAGTTTGGCCATTCTTCTTTCAAGGAACATTCTGGCTGCACTTCTTCCAGGACAGATTTGTTAGTTATTTTGGCAGTCCATGGCACTTTCAGTATTCTTTGCCAACACCACAACTCAAAAGCATCAACTCTTCTTCAATCTTCCTTATTCATTGTCCAGCTTTCACATGCCTATGAGGTGACTGTAAATGCCATGGCTTTGGATCTGATGTCTTGACTGCTGCTTCCATGGGTGTTGACTGTGGAACCAAGTAATATGAAATTTTTGGTAACTTCAATCTTTTCTCCATTTATCCTGACATGACTTATTGTGAGGATTTTCATTTTCTTTATATTGAGGTGTAATCCGTACTGCAGACTGTAGTCTTTAATCTGCATTAGTAAGTGCTTCAAGTTTTCCTCACTTTCAGCAAGCAAAGTTATGTCGTCTGTGTATCACAGGTTATTAAAGAGTCTTCCTTCAATTCTGATGTCACATTTTTCTTCATATAGTGCAGCTTCTCAGATTATTTGCTCAAAATACAGATTGAATAAGTATGGTGAAAGGATATAACCCAGATGCACTCTCCTCCTGATTTTAAACCATGCAGTATCCCCTTGTTCTGTTCAAATGACAGCCTCCTGGTCTATGTATGGATTCCTCATGAGTACAATTAAGTGTTCTGGAATTCCCATTCTTCTCAATGTTATCCATAATTTGTTATGATCCACGTAATTTAATGCTTTTGCATAGTCGATAAAACATAAGTAAACATCTTTCTGCTATTCTTTGCTTTGAGCCAAGATCCAGCTGACATTGGCAATGATATCCCTTGTTCTACATCCTCTTCCGAATCCAGCTTGCACCTCTGGAAGTTCTCTGTCAATATACTGTTGTGACCATTTTTTAATTATATTCAGTAAGATTTTACTTGCAGGTGATATTAATGATATTGTTCGATAATTTGCACATTCTGTGGGATCACCTTCCTTTGGAATGGGTACAAATATGGATCTCTTCTAGTCAGTTGGCGAGGTAGCTGTCTTCCAAATCTCTTGGCATAGCTGAGTGAGCACCTCCAGTGTGGCATCTGTTTGTTGAAACATCTCAGTGGGTATTCTGTCAATTCCTGGAGCCTTGTTTTTCACCAGTTCCTTCAGTGCTTACCTTGCTTAACAGGTAATCTGACACTGAGATCACCAGACCTTTCTTCCAAGGCATTTCTGGGTAAACTTGAATTTCCAAACTTTGGGTTAGCAGCTGAGCACATTAACTGGTGCACCACCCAGGGACTCAGGCTCCTTCCTGAGTTAGTGCCCCTGGCTCGCCACCTTTTCTCCTAGGGTGTGTACTGGCTGGTAAATGTTAATATCTTTGTGCCAGGCACTGGTCTGACTTCCTTCTCAGTGGCTAAGCCCTCTTCCTGGCTCTCCCAGCCCTGTGACTCCAGCTGCTGCTCCATGTCTGCTGGAGGCTCCCTGAACTTCCCAGAGTCCCATGTCCTTAGAACTCTCCACCTGGGTGTCCCTTGGCTGCTTAAACTTATTATGTTCAAAATGAACCACACACCCCTCCCCCCTCCCAGTACTGACAGCATCTCCCTCAACCCAGCTCTCTAAGCTTGAACATTGTGCTTTCCCTCCCTCCTTCCTCTCCTCAGAGCCCACATTCATCTGTACTATCTTCAATTCTTCACCAAGCCTTGCTGAATTTGGCTTTGGGCTAACACTCAAAGCTGTTTACTCACCTTCTGTCCTGGTTCAGAGCCTGAAAGACCACTGGGTTCTGCTTGGTCTCCTGCCCCTTCATGCCACCAACCACTTCATCACAGTTAACTTTCTCAAAATCATGGGAGGCCACCCACTTAATTACCTCCCAGCCAACAATTCTCTGACTTTAATGTACCTTGAAATCATCTGTTGTTGTTGTTAGGGGCTATCGAGTCATTTCCGACTCATAGGGACCTCATGCACAGCAGAACGAAACACCGCCTGATCCCATGCCAGCTCCATGACCTTGCTATACTTGAGCCCATCATCAAAGCCACTGTGTCAATACATCTCGTTGAATACCTTCCCCTCTTTTGTCGACCCTCCACCTTACCAAGCATGACATTCTTCTCCAGGGAATGGTCACTTCTGACAACATGACCAAAATAGTGAGATGAAGTCTGGCCATTCTCGCTTCCAAGGAGCATTTCGGCTGCACTTCCTCTAGGACAGATCTGTTAGTTCTTTTAGCAGACCATGGTACTTTCAAGATTTCTTCGCCAGCACCACAACTCAAAAGCATCAACTCTTCTTCAGTCTTCCTATTCATTGTCCAGCTCTCACATGCATATGAGGTGATTGAAAATATTATGGTTTGTGTAAGGCACACCTTAGTCCTCAAGGAGACATCCTTGCTCCTTGGCACTTGAAAGAGTTCCTTTGCAGCTGACTTGCCCAGTGCTATACGCTGGCTAATGTCCTGACTGCTACTTCCATTGGCGTCGATTGTAGAACCAAACAATGTGAATTCTTTGACAACTTCAATCTTTTCTCCATTTACTGTGATACTACTTATAGGTCCAGTTGTGAGGATTTATATATATATATATATATATATATATATATATATATTGAGGTGTAATCCATACTGCAGTCTGTATTCTTCAATCTTCAATCTTCATCAGTAAGTGCCTCAAGTCATCCTCACTTTCAGCAAGCAAAGTGGGGTCATCAGCATATCACAGATTGTTAATGATTTTTCCTCCAATCCTGATGACACATCTTTCTTCATATAGTCCAGCTTCTTGGATTATTTGCTCAGCATATAGATTGAATAAGTATGGGGAAAGGATCCAACCCTGATGCACTCCCTTCTTGATTTTAAAGCATGCAGTGTCCCCTTGTTCTGTTTGAATGACAGACTCCTTGTCAATGTACAGGTTCCTCATGAGTACAATCAAGTGCTTGGGAATTCCCATTCTTCTCAATGTTATCCACAATTTGTCATGATCCACACAGTCAAATGCCTTTGCATAGGTAATAAAATACAAGTAAACATCTTTCTGGTATTCTTTGCCTTGAGCCAAGATCCCTCTGACAGCAGCTATGATATCTCTTGTTCCACATCCTCTTCTGAATCCAGCCTGCACCTCTGGAAGTTCTCTGTCACTATACTGCTGCAACCATTTTTTTAAATTATCTTCAGTAAGATCTTACTTGCATGTGATATTAATGATATTATTTGATAATTTCTTCATTCTGTGGGATGATCTTTCTTTGGAATGGGTACAAATATGGATCTCTTCCAGTCAGTTGGCCAGGTGTCTTCCAAATCTCTTGGCATAACCGACTGAGTGTCTCTAGTGGGGCATCTCTTTGTTGAAATATCTCAGTGGGTATTCTGTCAATTCCTGGAGCCTTGTTCTTCACCAATTCCTTCACTGCAGCTTCAACGTCCTCCTTCAATACCACTGGTCCTAGATCATATGCCATGTCCTGAAATGGATGAAGATTGACCAGTTCTTTTTGGTACAGTGACTCCGTGTATTCTTTCCATCTTCTTTTGGTGTTTCCTGCATCATTCAATATTTTGTCCATAAAATCTTTCAATATTGCAACGCGAAGCTTCAATTTTTTCCTCAGTTCTTTCAGCTTGAGAAATGCCAAGCATGTTCTTCCCTTTTGTTTTTCAAATCACCTGGGATCTGTTAAAATCCAGGTTCTGACTCGGGAGATCTGGGGAAGCCCAGCTTCTGCATTTCTAACAAGCTCCTGGGAGAGGATGATGCTGTGGGTCCTGCAGACACCACTGTGAGCAGTGGAGTCCAAAAGCCCAAGTCCAAGTTCCTCTAAATGGCATCCAGAGCTTTTTAGGAAGCTGACTCTAAGCAATGGTCCCATCTTTACCTCTCATGTGAGGCCGCCACTGTACAGAGGGGACAATTAAAACCTTGATGTTTATGGGATTCATTTTCTTGGTTTAAGGGCTTAGGGTCATGGTCTTGCGGGAAAATTCAGTCAACTACCATCACATAGTTGTTAAAGTTTATGTTCTACCTGCCAGTATGGTGAGTGAGTAGCGTCTGGTATCTTAAAAGCTTATGAGCAACCATCTAAGATAAAATTATTGCTATTTGTCTGGAACAAAAGAGAAAGAAGGAAACCAAAGAATCAGAGAAGGAATGGAACTACAGGACTAATTGTCTCCATGAACCACTGTCTCCTCTCTTGAGACCAGAACTAGATGGTGCCTGGCTATCACCATCAAATATTCTGATCAGGGACTGAATGGATGGATCTTGATAGAAAGGGAGAAAAACGTGGAACAGAATTTCAAATTCTAAAGAATCCAGACTACTGGACCTATTGAGGGTGGAGGAGTCCCTGAGACTATAGCCCTGAGATATTCTTCAAACCTTGAATTGAAACAATCCCCTGAAGTCACTTTTAAAGTAAGAGTTTAGTTCAAAAAGTAAAGGCTGTCACCCTTGAGTATCGAGTTCTTTTGAAAAAATTATCTATACAGGACTAAATAGTCAATAGCTATTGCAAAGCATAGATGAGAAGGTTGGGAGTAGGGAGTTTGAGGTAACGGGAGTGACACAACTAGAACAGAAATAACAAGAACATTGACGTATTACCTGTGAAGACTGTAACTGATGTCATGGATCATTATGTCTGGAAACTATGGAATGGGTTTTACTGTGCATATTTTCACCAAAAATAATAAAACAGAAACAATCCTGGTGGTGGAGTAATAAGGGATTGGCTCCGGGGCCAGAGGGAACTGCAGGCAACTGCAACCCCCACTCTAGCGTTCACATTCTCCTTGCAGCCAAAGGCTGCCTCAGGGACAGATTACCCAACAAGCAAGGTGAGCCTGGGCTTATTTGTGCTTATTGACTAATTCCTAGTGAATAGTCTCACATGTTTTTCAGTTTACTTTCCTTACTGGGCACTCCCGTCCTTGTGAGGGATTGTAAATTTGAAGAGGCTTTGATTCTGTAGGAAGGTGCAGTGGGGTTGGGAGAGAGATGCCAGCCATACCCGGAAGCAGAATGATGTGGTGAAAAAAATGTGAGATTGTTCACTATGGATTAGTAAGAAAACACAAGTAATCCCACGCTCATCTTGCTTATTGGATGCTGTGACACTGGGTGGCCTGGCTACCAGTTTGCAGCCTTGGCCATCTACCGCGATATCTGTAGTTCCCTGAATGCACAGAGCTTTTTCCCTTGCACTCCTGCCCAGGTCTACAATTCCAGGCCTATGCACTACCCCCAAGCCCAGGCCCTCTCTGAGGCCCTTCTTGGACAGAACGATTCTCTCTCTCACACACCCCATGTACCACAGAATGCTTCATAAACACATAGGTCCTTCATATTGCTTTGAGTCCTGTTTACACGCCCATCACCATGTGCTGCTCCCTGAGACAGGAGGCCCAGCTCCTAATGAGGTGGGTGCCCTTGACATAGGTGCCCAGAAAACATGCAGGAGGGAGGGAAAGGCAGGGGTTCAGTGGTTAAACATGGGTCTGGGCCCAAGCTGCTGGGTTTGTGCCTAATGTGGCCTCTGTGTGAGACTTCTCTGCCTCAGGCTCCACATCCATAAACAGATGTGATAACAGGACATGCTTCAGAGGGCTGTCTGGAGGATGGAATGAATTCATATAAAAGAACCTGGCCCCCGATAAACACTTTATATGTTTTGACTGATGTCTTCATTAATGATGATGTTCCTCTCAGAGGTTCCAGATCTGAGATAAAGAAAGGAGAGGTCATGTAAAAATGATGACCTACAAGTTACTATGCACCTACTACAGCCAGGCTTCTGTCTCTTGGGCAGGGTGGTAAAGTCTCAGGAGTCAGGGCCCAGGTAGAACTCGACCCTCCAGGGCACGGCCTCACCTGCAGGGTGCAGGTTCTTGATGCTGGGCATCCCTGTCCTGGTCACAGCCTCAGGCTTCAGCAACTCTGGGAGGCTCTCATGAAATGGAGTCCAGTGGCCCTAAGCACAGAGCCTGGCACACTGGTGGTGATCATTACTGAGGCCCGGGCCCTAGTGCCAATAGCCACCACCCAGTAGGCCAAGAGAAGCTGATCCCATCAGTCTTCACAAAATCCAAACCCAAACTTTCCTTGGGTTTCCAAGGCAGTATCACTACAGAAGTAGATTGCCCAATCTTCCTTCCGAGGAGTGGCTGGTGGGTTTGAACTGCCAGCCTCTGGTTAGCAGTCAAGTGCTGTGGGCACTACGCCACCAGAGAGAGCTCCCTTGGACTGAAAACATAAGCCGATCTGTCACCATAAGCACCACACAGGCACTGTAGCATCAGGGCTGTGTAGGGACTCCCAAAGAAAGTGGACAAATTAGAAAGAGAAGACTAATTGTAGAAGCATTGGTCCTGGGCCCACTATTTTGGAACGGAGGGTGACTGAGGGAGGGCTGAGGGTCCAGAGCCGTCCTGAGCTCACCTTCTTCACTTGTGAGGACACTCCGGAATCCAAAGAGCTGGGCCACGAGGATCCCGACAGTGATGAAGAGCTGGGGCACTACTCCAAGGGCACCCCTCATGTTCTTAGGGGCCAGCTCCCCCAGGTACATAGGGACCACGTTGGAAGACAGACCTGGGAGGGGGGGTTCAAACAGGAACATTTCCAGGAAAAATTAGTCTGTCAAGAAAAGCACTGTCTCGAATACAGTACATTTCTTCTAACATAGCACTCACATAATTTAGGCCAGAACCTTCCCAAAATTATCAAGGAGAAAGCATACATTTCTTTCAGTTCTTAGTTCTTTAAATTTCTGGGATAAAGAAAACAGGCCACAGAAGCTCAAGAACAGCTACCCGTGCTCATTGGCTGGCGGGATCTCTGGCCATCCCTCCTAACTAGCCCAGGCCTCAGAGAAGAAAAAGCCAAGTGTGGCCCAGACACTCTTCTCGATTGTTCCTTGGGGACACTCCATTCACAAAGGGCCAAGGACTCCTTCCACCAGCTTAAACTGCTGAGAATAGCATATTACATGATACACTTTGGGACAGGCACATTAATACAAGTTAGAGACTGTTACCCAGAAACACAAAAATACAAATATATATCATAGAATTTCTGCATTTCTGGAATTGGTGTAATACAGTAAAACCTGCAAAAGTGGGAACCTGTGTTAGGCAGAAACCTATCAGGGAAGAAAAAGTCAAATATGTTCCATTAAAACCAGTGATAGAAAAGTGGTAAGACTGCACCCTGTCAAAGGCAGAAAATAAGTGAGACCCAGAAAAATAAGGCCATCCTGTCAAGATTCGGCTCTCATCATACATTATTGTTGTTGGATGCTGTCAAATCAATGCTGACTCGAGTGACCCTATAGGTCAGAGCAGAACTGCTCCATAGTGTGTCCTAGGCTGAATCTTTATGGGAGCAGATCACTAGGTCTTCTCTCCTGCAGTGCTGCTGGAGGGTTCAAACCGTCAACCTTTTCGTTAGCAGCCAACCACTTAACCATTGTACCACCAGGGCTTTCTTGTAATACATATGTTGTTGCTGTTGTTATGTGCTATCGAGTTGGCCCCAACTCATAGTGACCCCTCCTTGGGTTTCCAAGGTAGTATCACTATGGAAGTAGATTGCCCAACCTTCCTTCTGAGGAGTGGCTGGTGGGTTTGAACAGCCAGCCTTCTGGTTAGCAGTCAAGTGCCTTAGGCACTTTTGCTCTGCTTAGTATTTAAAAAAAAGAAATCACAAGTTCATTAACACCAGTTCCTTCAGGTTTTCAGAGCAGAGGGATAGACTTTAAAGCAGCCCTGCAGGGAAGAGGCATGCCTAGCCCACTTCCTGCCCAGAGAGGGGAGGGCTCCTGGAGGCTTGGGACCATTGAGGCCCACTGTCCTCACAATTTACCAGGCCCCGTAAGATGTGCTATCCCTTCCTAATGGCAAGAGATCTTTGACATAATTGAAGAGCAAGCATCAGGCTGTGTGTGAAGACAGGATTACCTTCATGCTAGTGAAAGCAATCTCTATTTTGTCTTAAAAATCACTCCACTGGGCAAAATGCTGAACAGAATTTCAAATTCCCAGGGGCTCAGAGTTTTTGGAATTACGGAGGCTGGATGAAGCACTGAAACTACTGGCCTGAGATAATCTTTAAACCTTAAACCAAAAATATCCCCTGAAGTCTATTTAAAACCAATTAATAGTTTAGCTTAACTAGTAAAGAATGTCTGCCTTGACCACTGCTCTTTCAAGATCTATCTCTATGGGATCAAATGGACAACAGCAGCTCAGAAGACTGGATAGGATCCTTAGAGGGCAGTGAGTTTACATTAACGGGGAGGAACTACTCAGAAAAGGAGGGTGAGGATGGTTTCACAACGCAATGTTATCAATGTCACTGAGTTGTACCTGCAGAAACTGTTAAAGTGGTGAATGTATGGTTTGCTGTATATATTCTGAACAACAAAAATAACTAAATAAATGATTTAAAAGGATAGATTTTATGGTATGTTAGTTATATGTCAATAAAACTATTATTAAGAAGAAGAGGAAGAAAAAAGGACTCCAGTGGGCTCTTTCAGCCAGCCTATTTCATCCAACACTAGAATCAGAGCAAAGTGGCTGTTAAGGTCAAAATTATTTCAAGCCAGTGAAAGCTTTCAGTGTTCTTCCCTTGCCAAGAAATTAACTATAAACAAATTAGTAAATTGTGAGCATTCTGAAATTCAAACTTGAATGTAATCTTCACATAAGCAGATCACCAGAGCTTCCTTCTGTAGCGCTGTTGGGTGTGTTCAGACCTAGGTCCCACATCTTGAAGTCCAAGTTGCATTTCTTTCTCAAGGTAGGTATTTGCTCCCTTGTCAGAAGGAACTGTGTGGTTCATGTTAATAGGAATGTTTTTAAATGAGTTTCTAATAAGCATGGTACTGGATTACTTCCAGGAGGCACGTGAAAGAATTAACTCTACGTGAGTTACACACTAGCAAGTATTCTCAGAGCACCAGTGAGGACTCCAGGATGTCCTCAGACCTTTCCAGGGGCTCTGTGAGACCAAATCTGTTGTCATAATACTAATGAGACAGTATTTACCCTTTTCATTCTTACTGTCTTACTAGTAAACAGATTCCAGATGCTACATGATATGTAGGAGTCCTGGGGTGGTACAAATGGTGCAAATGGTTAAGCACTGGACTGTTGTTGTTTGTTGTTGTTGTTGTTATGTGCTGTCAAGTCGGACCCGACTCAGCGACCTCTCCTTGGGTTTCCCACGCAGTATCACTATGGAAGTAGATTGCCCAACCTTCCTTCTGTGAAGTGGCTGGTAGGTTTAAACTGCCAGGCTTCTGGTTAGCAGTCAAGTGCCTTAGGCACCACACTACCAGCACTGGACTACTAATCGCCAAAAAGGTTGGTGGTTCAAACCCACCTGTGGGGAGCTTTGAAGTAAGACCAGGCAATCTGCTACCAAAATGTCACAGCCTTGAAAACCCTTATGGAGTCTAGTTCTCTGCAGGCATAGGGTCACCATGAGGCATTATCAACTTGAGGACAACTAACAACAGCATCACGTGTGATATCACAACAGGCTGAACACAGAAGCAGGTTTGAGAATCTAGCTGTCTTCTACTAAGCCAGGTATTAAGGAGATTTGCAAAAATGTGACACACTGCCATTCTTCCCACTGTATTTTTTGTTTTAGAATATATAATTATTTTTCATAAAAGATAATGGGTTTATTACTGTTATTTTAAAATGAATTCATGTATTTCTCAGTCATATTATGGTAAATATTGATAGATATAACTCACATAAGCAAAAGCTTTTTGGAACTTTCAATAATTTTAAGGGGTCCTGAGAGCAGAGTTTGAGAAATGCTGGCAAAAGGAATGCTTCCCAGACCCAGTTGCTGTCACATCGAGTGTGACTGGTGGCAACCTCAGATGTGTCCAAGCAGAACTGTACTCCATTGGGTTTTCAATGGCTGACTTTTCACCAGGACTTTCTTTCAAAGTACCTCAGGGTAGACCTGAACTCTAAACTTTTGGTTAGAAGCTGAGCACATTAATGGCACTAACTCTTTGTATCACCCCACCCCAAACCAAATCCACTACTGTCCTAAGTTTCCTGTTGGAACCAATTTTGAATTGTTGAATGGTCAACAGGAAAGCGACTGGACTGTTCACTGCTGATGACTCTAGAAGCCATGTATTGCAAAAGCTGAGCTCACTGAAGGGTCAACCTGAGGGCAGGAGCAGGGCCAGGACCAGATGACCAGCATCAGGCGCTCTCAGGGAAAGCTGTGGACTAAGTCCAGCTTGTTGTGCAGCCCATCATTTCCCCTGGAAAGGATCTCTTCCCTCTACAGGAAACTTGTTCTCTTATTTTTCTCCCAAGCCCTGTAATTCTTCATTACCATCCCTACCACCAGGTTTCTTGACTTCTCTGCTACTGCAAATTAACTCTGGCTGAGGTGCTGACATCTGGCCACATCACTCCTTCTCCTCCACCTCAGGCTTGGGGAGAGAACGTGAGAGTTACTTGGCAATGCCAGGGCCAGAGCTAGGGCGTGAACTTTCCAGTAGCCTCACTCTCGGGTGTTTACCTTGCACTTGCCTGACCCTGGGAGCAGGCACCTCCTTAAATTTGGCTCCCCACTTCAATAAGGCCCTGGCAAATACTGCCTACAGAAGGATGCCACCTGGGGGTTGGAGGACACAAGCATGGCTTTAACAAGCATCTCTCTCTGGTTTGAGCCAATTATGGGAGAGATTCAGAAAACTGCCCAAGTACAGCCTGGCAATTAAGTCTGGAGGACAACAGGTCATTCTTTGCAAACCTACCCTGAGGTTTAGCAGATGAGAAGCCCCAGGCAAGTCATTAGTTTCTCTCAGCAGGCAGGCTTAAGGAATTAGTGAAATAGTGCCCAGGAAAAGTCCTTTGCAAACTTTAAAGTGCCCTATACCATACAATGAGTTGGAATCAACTTGATAGCTGTGGTTTTATACTACACCACTGGTATTTCAAACACCAACAGGGTCACCTATGGTTTCAGTGGAGCTTCCAGACAAAGACAGAGTAGGAAGAAGGTTTAGTGATCTACTTTGGAAAATTAACCAGTGGAGACCCAAGGGCATCAACAGAATATTGCCCGATATAATGCTGGAAGATGAGCCCTCCAGGGTGGAAGGCATTCAAAATACACAGTGACCATAACAATGCACTTGAGCATACCATCAATTGTGAAAATGGCACAGGACCGGGCAAAGTTTTGCTCTGTCGTACACGGGGTCACCATGAGTCAGACTTGACCTAACAGCAACCAATAATAACAACAATATAAAATTGGAAAGTTGCCATCATTAACTCTGTTTTTGGTAGAGGGATCCATACATTAAATTGCTTCTCAAACTTGTTTGACCACAACTCCCGGTCAAAAATACAGAAGTACATTTTACATTGCATCCTGGTTCACATACACACATGTAGATAAACAAATGAAAAGTAAACTTTCAAAAGACAACACTTACCTTACTACATACGACATTTTCTATTCTATTTCATTTTTAGAAAGAAAAGTGCTGCTCACTAAACAGATTTCACTGCCCACCAACGATCATGGCCTGCAATTTAGAAAACACATCCGCAGTCTGGATTGCAAGGACCCTTCTGAGGCTCAGTTTCAGTATTTAAGTGCTTCCCAAGAACAGCTTCCTTGCAGGAAGCATCCCAGTAAGGATCGCAGCAGTACTGTCTGCACACAAGATAATGCAGGGCTTCAAACAGCTTCTTCACCGCGGAGGCAAAGGAACAGCTTGAATGTATATGCTTCAGAGACCCCGGGGTTGGCTTGGAGCCCCAGAAGCTTTTTCTTCTTCTTCCTTGATTACCCCAAATAACAGACTCCATACAGTGTAGCATTGTTTACCTGCACATATTCCCACCAAAAGTCTGGAACAAATGATCATCTCAAATGTCTTGGCAACTTTGCTGCAGCCCATTAAGATTGCAGGCACGATGGAAAATATGTTGTTGAACAGCAAGGTCCCTTTTCTGCAGAGGACAAAACATTCAGTTAGTTTGGTTTAAGGATTTGTTCATTGATTCAACACATACTCAGCGACTCTCCTCTGTGAAGGCTCCCCCAGGCACAGCCATGGGCTGTGTTGTTGTTAAGTTTTAAGCTCTCAGTGACCTAAGACTGACACTGCTGAAATGCACGATCTGCTGTGAGAATCTTGTCTGTGTCAGAGCAAATGGGAAGGAGCACAGTTCAGAGGGTATCAGTGGTGAGAATGGAGGGAAAAGGGTGCCATATTACAAATACAGGAAAAGCTTTTTGAAGTTATAAGATAACTTATGATTTTAGTACAATTTTGAAATCCAAACTGGGCAATGACATTAGAAGAAAAGGAAAGTATGGATCAATTTCACTTATCAGCATAGGTACAAAAATCATAAATTAAATATGAACAAGCTGAATTTAATAGCATATTTAGAAATCTTTCAATGTATTGCACCATATTAAAGATCACACAAGGAGCCCTGGTGGCACAATGGTTAAGCACATAGCTGCTAACAGAAAGGTCATCAGTTCAAACCCACAGCCTTTCCACAGGAGAAAAGACCCGGAGATCTGCTCCTATAAAGATTACAGCCTAGGAAACCCTCTGTCACAGTGGGCCACGATGAGTCAAAATCAACTCAATGACATGCAACAAAAAGATTGCACAGCTAAAATGTCCAACACCAGATGAATGGGTAAACAAAATGTGGTACACACACACAATGGAATACTACTCAGCCATAAAGAGAAATGAGGTCCTGATGCACACCCCTGCATAGATCAACCTTGAAAACTCCATGAAGAGCCAAGTAAGCCAGGCACAAAGGACAAATATCATATGGTCTAATTGATATGAAATAAGCAAATATATAAAAACCAAGCCAAACTCACTGCCGTCAAGTCAGATACGGCTCCTGGCTACCCCTTGGATTTCCAAGGCATTATCACTATGGAGTTAGATTGCCCAATCTTCCTTCTGAGGAGTGGCTGGTGGGTTTGAACCTCCAGCTTTCTGGTTAGCAGTCAAATGTCTTAGGCACTACGCCACCAGAGCTCCCAAAAACAAATATATAGAAACCAAAAAATTATTAGTGGTTACTAGAGGTGGGACAGTGTTTCAATGCTATTCATAAGGTTTTCAGTGGCCAATTTTTTCAGAAGTGGATTACTTAGATCCACAATCAACACACATGGAAGCAGGAGTCAAGAAATCAGAGGATGTATTGCACTGGGCAAATCTGCTGCAAACGTTCTCTTTAAAACATTAAAAAGCAAAGATGTCACTTTGAAGACTAAGGTTGCCTAAGGCAAGCCATGATATTTTCAGTCACCTCATATGCCTGTGAAAGCTGGACAATGAATAATAATGACCGAAGAAGAGTTGATGCTTTTGAGTTTGGTGTTGGCAAAGAATGATGAAAATACCACAGACTGCCAGAAGAATGAACAAATCTGTCCTGGAGGAAGTGCAGCCAGAATGCTCTTTAGGAGAGAGAATGGCCAGATTTCATCTCACATACTTTGGTCATGTTGTCAGAAGGGACCAGTCCCTGGAAAATGATATCATAGTTGATAAAGTAGAGGGTCAATGAAAAAGGGGAAGAC